TCCAAACTCACAGATTATTGAGACAAGGCCTATGTGAGAGTCCAGTACCTATCACTTTTTTAAAAAAAGGACAGAAGCCTTAGACAATGCAGCAAAAGAAGGAAGAAAGAGAAAATGTCTACACCAATGGAAAACACATTGTTCTTCAGATGTTGTAGAACTATCATACCCCACCACTGGCAGGACAGTTTGGGCTGATGGAAATTGGCGTCCAAACTTACAATTTCTCCAGCTCTGGTTTCTACATATTGAGCACAACCCAGCAGTGAATGAGTGATTCCATGCAAGATGATTCATAAGACTGTACTAGGTTTTAGTTCAAACTTTAATGGAGCTATCTCAGGTGCTAAACCTATTTTTGAGGTAGCTTTCAGAACCCTGAATAGCTCCTTAAAATGCAAACTATACTTCACACAGTACATTTGCCTTGTCAATATGTTTGGTGTACACTGACAGGGAAGTCATCAGTCACTGCTGACAAGGAACATTTGATGTAGCTACAATACAAGGCAGCCTTTCTTAACTTCCCAAAAACAGTAGTGGAGGCGAAGAGAAAGAGTCTTCCCTGTAAGTCTGCAGCCAGCCATGAAAAAGATACTGCAATGCCACTGGACTGCATGAATATTGATCATCATCAACAACATTTAAGTGCTCAGAGAACTCATATACCTTTTCATGTTTACAACATCCCTGTAAGTCTCAGTGGGTGAGATGCAAATATGAAGTTAGCAATTTGCTCAAAGCCTCCTAGTTTGAGAAAGAGAGGAAATTTGAAGACTTCTGCCTGTGATTGCAATCCATGACTGATAAACACAGAAGTCCTGAGGTCCAAATCTGCAAAGAGATCTACACTGACCACTTAATGTGTGTTGAAAGCAGTTTGAAAATGCAAGGTTGAGATGATGGCTGCATGGTAAAAATTCACGCAGGAATGCAAATAAAAGACCATAAGCCAAGATAAGAAAATTGGGGGATACTCCAAAATGGGGCCCATAATGAGCATTAGCATTTGAAGGTGTAAACCACATTGCATGGTGAAACTGATGTAGTGACAGGTTCTTTGGTGATCCACACATGCACACTGCCAAAGGAGTGAATTAAAAACATGGAATTTTCTACAACTGTGAAGCCATAGATCAGTGGTTCCCAACCTGTGGCCCATGGACCACCTGTGGTCTGCAAGAACTAGAATATGGTCCGCGGCCTCACCATTACGCCACTGTTGCAAAGAGTGTGACTGGTCTTGCAAAAACCTCTTATAGTGCCAAGGCTTATTAAATATGACCTCACTACCAACAGACCTCACTACCTCTGAGGATGCTTGCAGGTGACCGTCAGGAGAAAATACCTCTAGGCCATGGCCATATAGCCCGAAAAAACCTACAACAACTCACTTATTAAATATGGTTTTCTGTAGGTGAGCAGATGGTGACTACTGGACGGCATATGTTCTGTATCAAGAACTAGAGCTGATTTGGTCTATCCAATGCAATTTGTTTAATCAGCATCCCAAATAACCAAACCAAACCTAAAGTTGACCAAAAACAGATTTGTAACCCTTGTGGTACTAATGTTAGAGAGTGGTCTCTGGTCAAAGTGGTCCCTGCTCAAAAAAAGATTGGGAAACACTGCCATAGATGCTGCAAATCCTGGTACTGGGCTGGAGGTGACCTCTTTGGTGCACATAAGCACCACCCAGGCCCTGGCCTGGTTCCTGAGATTGGCTTGTGATCAACTCCACGTTCAAATCTCTTGCTCCTTTTAATTCCACATTAAATGGTCAGTGCACATGTCCCTCATGTCCACTGACCATGATTGCTGGGAAATTTACTCTGTGGCGAGGGCACTCAATGTGTGATACATGCACCCTGTGTATTTAGTCAGAAAGTGTGTAATCAGCTCCAAAAGGAAAAACAGGCCTCCAGGGATTTAAATTTTTAAGAAATGTGGGCAGCCAGATTTTCTAGCCCAGTGGCTCTCAATCTTTGCTCTTCCAGATGTTCTGGAGAGATTTCAACCCCTCCAGATGTTCTAGCCAAAATGATCGATGATGAAAGACCCCAAAATGTTGAGAAACCAGGGGCGCATCTACACAATTAAGACAATTTGGTGCTCTTTGAACTGCCATGGTTCAATGCTATGGGGTTTGTAGTTTGAGTCAGGCACTAGCAATTTTGGCAGAGAGGGCTAACATCCTTGTGGGACTAAAGACACTGAGCCAGGGCAGCTGAAGTGGCTCCAAACTGCATGAATTCTACTGGGTAGATGCACGCAGTGTGTAATCTGCTCCAAATCGAAAAACAGGCCTGGAGGAGTTCCAACTATTTAATAGTGATTGCAATGTTTGGTATATATTAATGTACCTTTAATTTTAATTTTCAATCTTTAACTTAATGTATTTTAACTGTTTGTTGTCAAAAGGCATTGAATAGTTGCCATATCTAAAGCCACCTTGAGGACCCTTCAGGGCAGAGAAAGGCGGGATACAAACAGAACAGAGTAAACAAATCTTGCGACCAGAGGGCCAGCCAGATTCTTGAAGCCAGTGGTCCTCAACCTTTGGCCTTCCAGATGTTCTGGAGAGACTCCACCCCTCCAGATGTTCCAGGTCAGGGCTGAGGAATGAGGAGGAGAAGTTGAGAAACCTACACTGTTGATTTAATGGAGTTTGAACCCTGCTTGAACTACCATGGCTTGATATTGGACTCCTGGGAGTTGTCTTCTGGTGAGGTGTCCATGGCAGACAAAAAAGCCTTGTGAAACTACAACTCCCGGGTGGGGCTTTGGCACTGGCAGGGAAGGGAAAAGACCTTGCAAGACGACAGTTAGCATGGCTTGGCTTCACTTGAACTTTGAAGTTTTTCAAGGCAATGAACCGCCTTGAGGGATGGATGTTGAGGTGGGGTGAAACTGCATACATTCAGGCATGGGCAAACTTAGACTCTCCTTCCAGGAGTTTTGAACTTCAGTTCCCACAATCCCCAACAGCCTCAGCCCCCCCCCCCCCCCATTTAAGTGGAAAAGGAAGGGGCCAGAATGTATGCAGTTTGACCCCACATCAACATCCATCCCTCAAAGCTGTACATTGCCTTGAAAACTGTCAAAATTCAAGTGAAGCCACTGTAGTTGCACAAGGTCTTTTGCCTTCCATGACAAAGCCCTATTTGAGGGTTGTAGTTTCACAAGGTCTTTTTTGTCTGCCACAGATGCCTCACCAAAAGACAACAGGATTAAGCGGCTAAGGGGGAAAAGGAAGGGGCATGACGCTGTTGGGGACTGTGAGAACTGAAGTCCAAAACACCTGGAGAGAGGGCCCATGCTTGAATGTATGCAGTTTGACCCCAACTCAACATGCATCTCACAAGGCTGCCCATTGCCTTGAAAACCCTCAAAGTTCAAGTGAAGCCAAGCCTGGCCTATAGAAGTGGTCCCTGTGGGTCAGGGGTTCTCAACCTTCCCAATGCCGCGACCCCTTAATATAGTTCCTCATGTTGTGGTGACACCCAACCATAAAATTATTTTCATTTCTACTTCATAACTGTAATTTTGCTACTGTTATGAATCCTAGTGTAAATATCTAATATGCAGGATGTATTTTCATTTACTGGACCAAATTGGACACAAATACCTGATATGCCCAAATTTGAATACTGATAGGGTTGGGGGGGATTCATTTTGTCATTTTGGAGTTGCAGTTGGTGGGATTTATAGTTCATCTACAATCAAAGAGCATTCTGAACTCCACCAATTATGGAATTGAACCAAACCTGGCACACAGAACTCCCATGACCAACAGAAAATACTGGACGGGTTTGGTGGGCACTGACCTTGAGTTTTGGGAGTTGTAGTTCACCTACATCCAGAGAGCACTGTGGACTCAAACAATGATGGATCTGGACCAAATTTGGCATGACTACTCAATATGCCCAAAAGTGAACACTGGTGGAGTTTGAGGAAAATAGACAATTGGGAGTTGTAGTTACTGAGATTTATAGTTAGCCTGCAATCAAAGAGAATTCTGAACTTCACCAACAATGGAATTGAACCAAACTTGGCACGCAGAACTCCCGTGGCCAACAGAAAATACTGGAAGGGTTTGGTGGGCATTGACCTTGAATTTKGAATTTGTAGTTCACCTACATCCAGAGAGCACTGTGGACTCAAACAATGAAAGATCTGGAACAAATTTGGCACGAATACTCAATATGCCCAAATTTGGACACTGGTGGAATTTGAGGAAAATAGGCCTTGACMTTTGGGAGTTCTAGTTGCYRKRGWTKMWRGYKMAMCKWCAAKSARAGAATGCWTYCWGAACATGKCCCAGAARRCYTWCAWSRMCSSARTSAYTSSGKYSWTGWARGYYTTCGACAT